GCAATAACCTTGTAAATACTGAAGGATTATGATGTACGTTGCGATGGTATTAAACGTGGTTTTCACTTCTCTTTTAGTTTTTGTTTTGCAATTACATGAAAAAGCAGAAGGAAAAGCTAGTTAAGCTCTTCTTTATTCAAGTGCCCAATACTTGAGTTATTGGTCAAGTATTTCACTCGAAATGAGCCCCGCTATAAATAAGACTATTTAGTGCTTATCCATAATCTGGTCTCATATACAGCAAAATAATGGATGATTCAGCTGACTGCATTTTGCTTTTAATAGTTTAATTTACATATTTAGACAATCATGTTGTTGTAAAAACTTTATGGAGGCATAGTGCAAGCATAAATAATGCATCTTTACATTTGCGGCAGGTAGTAGGGAGCAAGCTTGTGTGCTAGCCATACCTGAGCTGCAGTTTAGTAAAACGTACGTTAAGCTCCATATCTTTCTCAGGTATTATGCAAATCTCCTAGAAGAGTGACACTGCGGACCAGTAAACACATTTGTTTGCACTGCAGTCCATATGTATAATGATTTTGCGGGTGACTTTACACAGTAGCACTCACTACTCACTCAGGTAATATTTTTAAATTCAGAGTATGGAAGGTGTGGTGTCTAAGGTCCCTCTCTGTCACGGCGGAATACATGTAGTACAGGCAGACATGGAAACATGGTGCCATTTCAATCCCCTCTCACAGCAGAACATAAACAGCTGAATTCCAGGAAAGACAACAAGTGTGAAAATACATGCAGACTACAGATTTCATGGAAGTATAGTCACTGGTACATAGTATTTTCATTTCTACCTTCAAAACCGTAGTCCACCAGTAAGCTCACACTGCTGGAGACTCCTAGCGGGAATCTCCACATCATCATTTGTCTGATGAGGGGCCCAAAGTCCTTCACACAAACAGCAACTACAGGTGTCGTGCCATGGGATTTTCAGATGTTTTTACAACAGCGTAAACTTAAAAAATAGGCACAGCTCCAGGTAACTACTCAACAGGTTATCCAGCACAGGGCTACTTCACACAGATTTCTGATGCATCTTGAGCTCAGATGGAATGCGCTGAGGACCAAAGGTGGTGCCCACCTTAGCAGCCTATGGTTTTTGGTACAAGATGATCTCCACTTTCAGGGTCTGGGCAGAGAAAAGAGCCCTTTGGAACTGTTGGATAGTAGCACTATTCTTGTAAGTTAATATCTTAAAAATGTCCTCCTGATATGTCAGGTGTAAAGGACAAGCAACTCCTTCAGTACAGGAATGAATTTAGAGAGAAGGAATGCCTACGTGGTTTTGTGATGTAAGGGGAACTCATGCTATTTTGAAATAAGATTTAGCATGTCTACAAGCATATCATGTCTAGAAAGACTGGCAAGGGGTGCGGGGTGGGGGTAGAGGGAATGAAAGGAGGGATAGAGATGGGGAGGACACTAGATACAGAAGTGTCTGGTGAGTAGTCTCCCAGTGTGCATTTCTTGTTGATGGCCAAAGTAAAAAGACCTATCCCGAGATGCCCTGAGACCAATAAGAGGCCTTCAATACACTAAACAACACTTCTTCCTCTCAAAACAACTCAGTCTACCTCTTGAAGTGTACAGAAAAACCAGAAGGTGAGCTGCTGACTGAAGTACTTCTCAATGCATCAGACAGATTAATTGTTTCCTAGCAGAATATAAGCAATATTGCACCATCCTTCTTGTTGGCAGAGTTTACAATAGTTCTGCCCATCACAAATCATGAATGATATCCTTGGATTTGAGACAAAAATTCTTTGTGTGCATTCTGCGCTGCCCTGAAAGCCAACATATGTATGTGAAGTACTTGCACCAAGGGTTATTGACTCTGGCTATCAAAGCTTTCCAAGTAAAACCCTCACCTTGACTGACATACATGCATTATAAACAAAAAGTCAGAGCAGGAAAACAGAAGCAGCACCTACTGCAAACAGAGGTGGATTTTGTCATTGGAATAGGAAGCATCACATTCTGTGAAACAGGTCTCTGGCAATACCTAAGTGCATGAGCATAGACATATCTGAGAGCATTTTCTGGAAGGGGACGTTACCTAGGTGTTCACCACCTAGGACTACTGGACATGAGTACAGATACGCAACCAAACACACAAACAAGTCTTTCACCATTTGAAAACTGAAACTACTTGGTGGAGAAGCCCTTGTTGGTATTAAGCCTTAAAATTTCCCCCAAGGTATGCTAAAGACTAGACTGGGTAAGGTGACACTTTTTTTTTTTTCTTTTTTCCTTTCTCTAAAGCCTCAGCTCTTGACTGCAGATTCATCTGGAGAGTTTGCAGGAGTTAGATCACCAGAGTGATCCAACCAGAGAAGGAACAATACCTCACTTTATCTGAAGTGATCTGTGTAACCACTACTTCTGAAGGCCTTCACTCCTGTGGAGAATGCAAGTGGCAGGACACTGTAATGATAACATTTTTGATTCATGGAGGAAATCTTCAGTGAAACATCATTACGTCAAAAGAGATGTTCTAAAGGGCAAGACACCAGCCAGTCTTCCAGCCAAGATCAGAGATGGTAAATCTTCCCCCAGATCATCTTAAACTTGGAATTGCAGTTGCAAAGTTCTTTTAAGCCTAGGATAAGGATTCAGCTTCCTTTCATTAAACAAGGTCACACTGCCTTTAAATGTAGCACAAAGGAGATAAGACATGAAACAGATTTATGGCCTATACTTTTAGGCATGACATCAGTCTCAGAAGACAGACATCTTTGACTGGTGTTGCAATTGCCCCCTTCGATAATTATGCCAGCTGGCAAAGGCAGTAAAGAACATTATTTCAATTTTATTGAAACAGATTGTAGGGATCCTTATCACAAAAGCTACCTTGTCTTGATTTTCCCAACAGTCCTCATCACTGGCAAGAAGTTTGCTGCGTAGGTGAAGTACTCGTCTAGAATTTGGTATTTGCTGTTGGCTTCCAAACTAGACTTGGGTAGGAAACTGGTGAGAACCTAGATATTTGATGTTCTTCATCAAACAAACTTCATTAACAAGAAAAGTGACCACAACTACTTTAAGACAACGCAGAACATAGAGATGCAGCTGGCTAAGATTGGGTTATACAAAGCATCATCTATCCTCCTTAGAAAGTCTTGAAAAACTATACAGCAATCAGCAGACTGAGTAAACTAGGTCATTCTTGGATCCAAGAGTAAGGTCAGTACTGGAAATGGTGCCATTCATTCTCCACATTTCTGTGACAGCATGTTTCCTCTTTCACCACTGAACAGGACGGGTCTCAGATAGCCCCTACAGGCAGCGTAATTCCTCTCGGTCTAAAAGTATGAACATACACAACTGCCCGGAGGAAATTGTTTGGAAGTAAAGCATTTCACATAGAGGGTTAGTTCCAAGTGCTTGTGGCAATGAACAGGTCAGAAAGAGTCGCTGAGGAAACTTGGTCAGTGTCACATACGACAAGAAAGGGGAGAACCTCTTCCATATGAGGAAGTTGTACTTCACCAAAAGGTGCCAGGGTTCTTCAGAAGGATCATGCACCTTAGCACCTGCTTTAGAAAGGGAGGGTCTGAACTTCAGCATTTTCTTTTGGCGTAATCGGTAGAAGTGAGAGTCACAGTCCGAGGAGAACTCCAAGACCAAACTGGCATCTGCATCTTTAGAGTCAGCCCAATGGTGGAAGTTTCCACTAGGGCACAGAAGGAGACCAGTCACTAATGACCACAGAAGAACCAGAGCCTTCATCTTGTGGTATAAATCTAAACAGAGTGCTTTCAGAAGACAGTAACATGTTAAATTAAAGGGAGGGGAAAAAAAAAAGGCAACAAAACCTCTTCCCCAAACATAGAACACTTTTTCATTATGCTGCTTTTTGCCAAAAAGCAGACACTCTCCATGTGGGAGAAAGGTCCATAGATAAAACAAAACTGCTTTTTGCCAAAAAGCAGACACTCTCTGTGTGGGAGAAAGGTCCATAGATAAAACAAAACCTCACATGGGTGGCTCCGGACTGCAACATAACCTTAGAAGGCATTATTGGCATATTATTGAGCTTAGACTGAAAAACACGCCCGGAGAGCTGGTGGGTATCAGACATTTCAGACTGCTATAGTGGCAATCAGGAAACCAGGCCACAGCTCTGGCCACAGACTGTAAGGGTCAAAATGATGGCCCTATACATCCATCTGCCGAGAGTGAGAGAGCACAGCGGGAACACAATCTGCCTGGCTGCAAAGGTCTTGGATCTGAATGACAGAGCTTATGTACATCCTAACTGTGAATGTACACAGAGATTATCACTTGACACTAGAAAACAAAGATACTGAGGAAGGGTATCACAAGGAAAATACAGGAGAGTGTATTAACGTATGTAGGTAAAAATTGTGCAAGTTAGAAAATTTTGGTATTAATCATATGTTTCCAAAAATACAGTCAAGTCCACCAGACTTTCCTGCCATACATTAAGGTAGCGTTTTGTTTTTACACATAGTATTTACAAGTCAATAGCAACATATATCACTATGTCATTAAAGGGGAATCATTTCAATTGAGCGTAACAGAGACAGGCAATTACAACTGCGCACAGTGCTCACAAATGTAAAATTCTAGCACGCTAACCACTGAGATACACCAGCTATTATCACTCAGCACACAACTGAATGAGAACAATAACCAAAAACATAGTGAGGTAATTTTAAAACACAGTACAGCAAATCCTGCTATCGTAACAACTGGTCTACTCAGAACAGCAGGCTGCTGGGCATAAATCACTACGATCAAAGATGGCTTTAAAGCCAAACTATTTTACTGCAGCAGTTTCTTGAAACAAAGTCAAGCCAATTGAAAAAAAAAATTGCTTCAAACTACAGATCACTGATACCTTTCAAAAAAATGCCAACTACCTATCAAGCAGCAAAAAGAGCACTGGCATTAAATACATTAGATGAAAAGCAACCTATCAGTTCCTTTTTCAAGCAAGCATTCATTATAGTCTGTACCTGGCTGATATGTACAGCAGAAACCTGGGCAGAACACACGGATGAGTGGCTTGGAGAGTTTGGTAGAGATTTGCAGGGTCCTATTGAGAGTTGCTGTTTCTTCCTTGTTGCAACAATCTTCTGAGCAACTAAAGAAAAACAAAACATACAGGCAGGTAAGCTATAGTACACACTGGAAAATATGGTATGTCAAAAATACACAGAATGCACAATACACAAAACAGGGTTTTCCATTGCCAAAGCCTGCTCCAAAAATTGATCGTAATATATCCAATTAAGATGACAGATGCTGGTTTTCCACAATATGCTCCATGTGAGACTCCAGCTCTGTTCTCCACATGGATGAAATTGTCCCAGAACTCACACTCCACCAGGTCAGCACCAGAGAGCCAGTAACACCCAAGCAGAAGGGGAAAAGGCAGATGTGCAAGTTACAAAAAGCAATACCAGGAATGCTGTAACAAGTACACTACATGCTTATAATCACACTGACAAAGCTTATGGTAGTACACATCCCATTCTTCTTTGGGATATTCTCCTTGCAGACAGAAGAGAAGTATGAGCAACACTTGACTAACTATCTAGTTCAAGTGCATCTCAGTGTTATTCACTAGTACAACCCTGGAAGGTGTCCTACATCACAGAGTGATGCTTCATTAGGAAAGCTATCACTCCCAGTCCAAGCAGGTTTAGTTTACAAGAAGGTGTGTACTCTCTGCTGCTGAGGAGTAAGGTGGACTTTTCTTAATTACCAGCCACTGCATCAGGACAATCCGTTTTGGAAACCACAAGTTTAAAGCATTTGAAACAAACGATAATCAGAATAATAAAACTGATAAAGGGTCCCTGACATAGAATACCTGGATTAGTGGTGCCACACATCCCATCCCATCCCATTCAAATTCATTACGGAAAGAAGCTATATCATGATTTCTACTTTTAGCTTTTATTACTCAGCAGCACTAGCACAGCTGGAAAAATGCCAAATTTATTTTGCAATTTATTAAGAAATTTTCTACGACATGTAAAGAAAAGCAGCATTTATCAAATGGCGACAGGGATCAGAGTCATTAACAACTCTATATACAGCTTAGCAGACTCATATTAAAAACTGGAAACAGAGCTGACCTGAAATGCAGCAACTTCCATACCTCTCCTATAACTTTTCAATTTAAAAAAATCAAACTATTTCAGAAATTCGTTCTGTGATACATGGGAATTTCAGTTCATTCTGCTATTCAGCTAAGGCCTTTGGAAAGAGCTCTTTTTAGGTCATAAACACTTAAAAATAAAATCCTTTACACTACATTTGTTGCCTACCTTTTGGGTCACAAATTAAAAAGTAAACAAAATTTCAGTCTTCAGAAACAGAGACTAGTGTAGTGGGTAATCAAAAACACTACTAACTAAATTTAGCTTTCTTGCATGCAGTAATCTTCACGAAGAGAAGCACTTTATGAAACTTGTGCAAAGGAGTTTGTAGTTGCTTGCACCGTCTCCACCAAAATGGGTCAGTGAGGCAGAACGGCAACAATTATTGGCATCTACTTAAAAAGTCACACAGAAACTTCTTGTAATTAAACTAACAGCATTCAACCTGTCTTGTTTAGAAAATATAAAAAGATATTTATGTAAATTCCAAGATTAGTCTTCCTCAATATGTTATAACACAGGCAGAGATACTGTTTAGCAGTGTAAGCTTACAATTTCTTCTCAAATGAATGTAATTTTAATAACAAACTGGTCTGTGGCTTATGTTTTTCATGTAAATGAATGATGGCATAATCATGATTTAGTGAGAATACATTGTATAAAAAATGGCTTGTATATATGAAGAAGCAGCTTCATTAGTTACATCCCACCTCCAATAGGCCTCTTATCATCCTGAAAGGATGATATCAATTAATTTATCTTTCCCTGGCATATTGATCATAACCTTCATCAGCTAATCATGTTTAAATTACAGAGGAATATCGTAGCACTCTGTCATTTCAGACCCATTGGTTTATTGATCTGGAGCCTGGAAAGCCATATATTAAAATATTTTAAAACACATTAGTGAATGCAGAGAGCAAACCGAAGGTCAGATTTTAACATATGCATGTGGATTTGTCTTCATCATAGGCGGTAAAGACCTAAATTAAGACCAAAACTGAATTAAAGCCACACATGAATGAAAACTACCTTCTCAGCAAAAGCTTCCACTCTCACATGGGAGAGGTAATTAGTCAAGAAAAATATTTACCTCTTTCCTTCAATCTGAATATAGGTGTGTTTGTAGCATCACATAAACACACATCATGCAATCTTGCCAAATTATGACTCTAGGAAGGCTCAAGCAAAAAAAAACCAAGACAGTCTGAACTCACCTACTCAAACGCACGACCTGAACGCTAGCTAAGTACTACAAAAGCAGACACTAGAAAAATAAATTTTAGAAAGCAAGAAAAGCACAAATTGTCATTCTAGAAATGCGAAGAGTAATCCACAAAGCAGCTGGAAGGTAAACCTTAACAGAGCAGCACAAAGAGCAATTTATCCTGTGCACTGTAAAAATGGTAAAATTGCAGTGGAAGATCTAATGTTACCTACTTAAAATTGTGCTACAAATTCTAGAATAGCCCATTCTTAGCCTCAAATTTCTTAGCTCTTCCCTCCGTTAAAAAAAATTATGTGCCCCCTAATGGAAATCCCCTTCTGAGCTGCCAAACCTTCCCAATTCCCCCTCCATTTTGGCAACAAGTCTAATATCCCCCGCCAGAACACGATTCCTCCTGCTTCTCCCCTCTCTTCATTAGGCAACCCGCTTTCCTTTGAGACACCAAACAGTTTTTGCTTCTTTCATTGCAGTCATGTAGCCGTCACTCCATAATTAGATTGCATTCAATATTCAAGTGCTCAGGGCTACTTGCCCTTGGATATGATGGTGATACGAGCTTCAGAAGTACCTAAAGGAGTACCCTGACCCTTCAAAGTTTGCAACATATGAAAGACGTGACTGATCATCTGTGGGGCAATCGCTGGACTGTCAAAAGACCTACTGTGCTCTTTCTAAAGCTACCTTGAGAGAAGAGATGAAACCTAAATCTTGCCCATCAGAAGTCAATAAAAGGGGTTCAGCACGTATCTCCTCAGCAGTGCTGCTGCAAATTCACATTTTCTGTATCTTCTATTCCAGAGAAGAAAGCCCTGAAATACACAAAACTTAAAATGGCTGGCACTAAAAACCCCACAGATCTGCTAACTCCTGCTGCTGACATCTTCAGGCACAGTAGTTAGGGAGGAAAAAAAAACCCCACAGTTAAATGGTTGTGGAGCAAGAGAGAAATACACCATAATTATAAGAACTAACACCAGATCCAGAGAACAGCCATGCTTTATCGCTCCTTCAGCCCCAAGACCCATTTCTGTTATTGCATCTTTGTTGGGACTCAAAGTGAGCACTCGTTAGCCGCTTAGCAATGGTAGGAAAAATCCTTAAACCAACACATTTTGTTTCCACAACTACAACGATACACAGGTTCACGTTGGATTTACGAGCAACTTTGTCGGAGTATTCCTAGATCATAGTATGTCCACGAGGGTGAGGTTTTTTTCCAAAAGGCAGTGCTACCACCACCACTGCTTAGGCAGCTGAGTGGCAAGGTGGGACCTCTGCTGAAAACCACATAGCAAGAAATATTGTTCTTCAGGAATGTAGAACGTACTATGGCAGTACATAAACATCTTTTTGCTGCTAATGAAAGCCAACTAGTGTACTTCATTAACCAATTTAAGACTACTCAGAGTCAAAATCTTCAGATTAATATTGAAGTGCCTGTAATTGAAATGTCAGTCCAGAGGAAGCTATACAATTAAAACAAATGTTGTTCTATAAAGTGAGTACAGAATGCAAGAAAGCAGAAACATTTTTGCCCCAGAGCTTTCAGGTTCCGTCTCATCCCAAAGATGATTCAGTGCTTTCTGAATTTAATGTAAATATACTTGCCAGGATATGTTTCTAAAACAGACGAATACTGACTTAATCTATGTGGCAGATATCAAAAATAATCAAGATAGTGGCAAGCATTTCAACTAATTTTAAAAATCAATTGCATTCTCTCTACTTTTATATACTCAGTTAAGCTATCAGTTTCAGAGAGATTTTTATTGAAAGCCATCTATCCATAGTATGAACAGCTAAACAAAATTTATTTGCAAAGTCAAGAACTCTTCTGCAAATAGGCATATGCCAAGGATATTTAGAGTCGTAAACCAAGAGAACTGATATTTAGCAAGTATTTGGGTTTTGGGGAAGACTGATGCTTATTTCTTATACATTTAAACTTAACTTCACAAGCCAGAATGACTAGAAGTTATATTTTGCTTTAAGGCCTTGTTAGTTAAAAGCATGTGAAATTCCTGGTCTGCAAGATGAATAAAATGTCCAAGTTTGGAGAGAAAGCTCTTGACTTGAATGCCTCTTCTTCCATGCCTGACCTAGCTCACCAAAACAAAATTAACCTTCCCACCCCCTGCCGCTTTCATCTCAAATGCTACTTTTTGTTAGTCAAACCACTCATTCGTAAGCAGCTCCTGCTAACTTCTCGCCGGATCATTTATTGGAAGGACTGTACCACTAAGCAGGAAAGCTCGGTGGTCTAGCAGCCTGTGAGCTGTAAAGCAAGATTTCAGCACTCCAGCTCAGCAGATCTGCGCTGCAAACCACCACCATTTGCAAATAGAAAAATAAGTTACCTATACGCTAATTTTTGCTAAACAAAGCTCTCCTATTCCGCTCTCAAGGCGTGGGGCTGACTATCGGTGGACTAAATTCACTCACAGGAGGAATATCAGGTCACCTCCTCTCCCCAAAACCCAGAGCTGTGCCTCCATAATGAACCAACTCCTCTTTGTGCTCCATTTTGGAGCTAATCACCATTAGAAATACTGTTGCCAGAGTAACTGCTCTGACAGAGTTGTCTTTCCTCGGTTCAAAGGGCTGTTCACATGTCAACTTCTGGTGCAGTGTGAGGCTGCTTTGGCGGGGGCAGCCGGGTCTCTAAAATCTCATTAGCACAGCTTCATTCAAGTATAAGGACAAGAAAGGCAGAGACCCGGGGGGAAAATACTCCTTACAAGAAGTTCAA